ATACACATCTTTTAATATAATTTTAAAAGGTCACTATATATATATGGTAAAATTATGAGATAAGAAAGGTTGGTAAAATTACTAGTAAATCTGAAATTTTGCCCGGAGACCTTTATTAGAAGTAAGCGGGGTCCTAATGCTGCCCCTAAATTTACAATAGTATTCTCTGCCATATTATGTAACTGATTATTGGTATCTATAATTCGATTAACTAGTGATCCATCTGTATAATATTCGATGTTCTTCAATGATCTTAACCGATATCGTATATTTGTAAGTTCTTGTCTAAGTGTATCTTGTTCTATCCAGCGATTGATCCATGATCCTAAATTATCTCCATTCAATTCAATTGTAGGTGTTTTTTCCATTTGTTGTATATTAATATTTGTTGTAATATTTTCATCTCTATTTACTGAATCTACCATATAATACCAGTCAATATGTGTAATTGCGCCTGTTGATAATTGAATAAAAATTGGTAAAACTAATGCATTATGTTGAGCTATTGTAATAATCTTTGGACATTCCTGTTTCTGAATAATTGCTTTTTGAGAGTTATCTGAATATATTTTAATATTGCATACTTCTATAATTAAGCAATCAATTTTCTCCCCATTTTTCTGTATATGTGTCCTTTTCTTTACAAGTCCTATTGATAATTTATTATTTTTATCTTTTATTATCACATACGTGTGTTTTCGTTTATCTTCTGATACTGGCTGTAATATATTATCCAGTAAATTAAATGTGGAAAATCTGGATATTTCTATTATTGATATTCCCTTGATCTATTGGGTTAACAGCTGAAACCATTTGGCTATGCGTCCTTTAGCTGATAATCCTGCAATAAAATGATAACATGCCCAACTCATAGTGTGTCCAAAAGGTAATATTAATTGACTAGCATATATAAGGGGTATGAATTTGCAGTTCCAATTTTTCGTAATAGATTAAGACATTTATATGTTATAAATATTTCTCTAGTAGGTATATTCCCACCGCTGATAGCCCATGTTGTCCTATTTATATAGTCTTGTTGTATAACAATATTTAGCTTTCGGGCTATAATAATATTATGTAAACTTAAATTAGATTTGGCTTCTTGATGACCTAAAAATAATGATTCTGATTCATGTTCAAAAATGTTATCATGTATAGCCAAACGTAGTTGCGCAGCTCTACATCTTATCATTATGGATCTAGATGCCAGTGAATTACTATTTATTAAATATGTAAAGGAAGTAATCTGATTTGCGCATATTTGATCCCATGGATTATTAATTCCTAAAATGTATTGATGATATAATGCCGATATTGGATAACTTCTAGGTAATCCACATATTTGCTTAACTAACTTGATTACTGGAGTAAATAAGAGATTCCATTCATTTTCTGATAATGTCATTAATTGGGCTACATATACTACTCTTGGAATGAGAACATGATTAATAAGATATGCAATGTGTCCTACTGTATTACGTTTTCGTCTGATAGGGTTCAAAAATTTTTCAATTATATCCTTAATTCTTTTGATTGATCTTTTTCTTGAATTGGAAGAAGAGAAATAACATCCTAAATAACGTATTTTTTTATCTGTAGCTTGAACTTTTGATTTATCACGTTCAATAATAATATATAGATCATCTCTAGGTAATTTAGGATTAATAACCATCAGTTCAGACTTCTTCCTATTTATATCTACATCATGATATTGATAGAACTGTGTAGCTATATTGATCGATGCCTGAATTTTATCACCTGAACTATTCAGATAGCTCGTATCATCCATATAAGCTATAACTGGTACTCTTAATCTAAATTGTTGCCATGTTGATCGATCTTGAATATTCATAGGTCATGTATTCACCATTTCATACCCTTGTTGATGATTACACGCTTGTTGAATAGCTACAAGCAATAGATCGTAAAAGATTCTCCATAGGAGAGGTGAGATCGCATCCCCCTAATCAATACCATCTCCTCCTATGAAAGTTGGGCTAGGGCCGAAAGCTGTTATTACGTTCATTTGTCTATTCTTGAATAGACCTGTAATCCATATGACAAATTTCTCTGGTATGTCTAGCCTTCTTAATGCTAATTGTAGACTTTCTAAGCTAACTGAATCATAAGCTTTCATCATATCTTGAGTTACCACCCAAAGTTCCTTTCCATTCTCCCTTGCATCTTCAATTATATCATTCATCAATCGTAACGGTATTGCTGTGTCTTCCCCTTTGAGACCGCAAAAATTTAATCTGCGTAAAACTTTATTAGATGTCAAAATTGCACTTAGCCGATTTGTTAATACTTTGGTGACGCATTTCCTGATATTATCTAATAATGCTATGGGACGTGTGTTGGCCAAAATATAGTTGAATTTTTGTGGTTTTGGAATCAGGTGGATAAGTGACTGCTTCCACTGGTCTGGCACAACTCCTAATTTCAAGGACAGATTAATGAATTTTAATAAAATATAACTAGATTTGTCTGAGAAATGTTTGATTATAGCATATCCAATGCCTGAAGGATCTGGCGCTGAATTCGTATTTACAAGTTCAAGTGTTTGGTGCCATTCTCCTATTGTTATCTCGTCCATTAGATTAGCCATACATTCAGTGAATTCCCCTTTCGGCCTATATATATTACTCCAGAAAACGTCCTGTTCTATTGACTTAGTATTGCGTTTTCGTAAAATTCCTGCAAAAGTATCTTTTGCATGAGTTCTAATTGTATCAGGATCAATAGCTAATCTAACACCTTCATTCTCATTAGAAATTACTACTCTATCAATGATAATGTGTTCCTTAACGTTGTCTTGTGTGAAGTATAACCATTTAGGAATATCTGAATGTATTATGTTGCACCGATTTTCTATGCTATCTTGGATCTTACGTAGCCGTTGTGCTTGTAAATAGTTTTTATCTATTTTGACTCTCTTTTTAACCACTTCTTTAGCATTCCACTGGTAAAAAAATGATTTATCCTACACATATCTTATACATATTGGGTA